CAAAAAGGAAACTACAGGCCAATATCCTAATGATATAGATGCAAATTGCAACAAAATCTAGCTAACTGAATCCAAGCTTATCAAAATAATCATCAGACCAAGTGGGCTTCGCCAGGGATGGCCAGGATGGTTCAACATATGAATCTAATAATCATTCACCACATAACAGAAGCAAAACAAGACCACATGATTCTTTCAATAGATCAGAAAGCTTTTGACAAAATTCAAACTCCTTCATCGATGACGAACTTAAAGAATAGCATAGAAGAATACTAAAATAGATACAACCATAATGACAGACCCATAGCAACCTCATATGAATGGGAAAATTGAAGTATCCCATTAGAACTGGACCAGACAAGGCACTATCTCCACTTCTATTCAACACAGTGCTGAAGTCCTGCTCAGCAATCGACAGAAAGTGAATTAAAGGTATCCAAATAAGGGCAGAAGAGATCAAACTTTCACTGTTTGCGATGATATGATATTATATTAGAAACCCCAAAGATTCAACGGAAAACTCCTGGAACTGATCAATGAATTTAGTAAAGTCTCAGATACAATCAATACACAGAAATCAGGCATTCATATATGCAACAACAATCAAATTGAGAACCATCAAAAGACTCAATAACCTTCACAAAAGCAACAAACAAATTACAGTACCTAGAATATACTTAACAAGGGTCAAAGACCTCTACAGGGACGAACTATGAAACACTGAAGAAGAAATGCAGAGGATGTAAACAGATGAATCATACCATGCTGTGTGGCAGACTCACATCATTAAATGCTATACTATGCAAACTGATCTACATTCAAAATACCTATTAAAATCACATCAGCTTCTTCACAGATATAGAAAAATAATTTACGCTATGGAATCAAAGAAACCTGATATCAAAAAAATCATAGGAACAAAAACAAGATGGAGGTATCAATATGCCAGATATCAACTATACTAAAGCTGTAGTAATTAAATCATCTGGTATTGGCACAAAATAGAATATTGCCAGTGTAACGATGTGAGAATCCTAATATAAAACCATCCTTATATGTGATCTAATCTTTGACAAAGCAGACAAAACATACGCTGGGAAAAGAATCCCTCTTCATAAATGGTATTGGAAAACTGGAAGCCACTTGTGAATGCTGAAGCGACCACACTTTCACCTCTCACAAATCAACTCACCGCTGGATAACAGCTTAAATGTAAGGTCTGAACTATTAGATTCTAGAAGAAATGTAGGAAACACTCTCCTAGTTGCATTGGCCTAGGCAAAGAGTTTAATTGAGAAGTCCCAAATGCAATCATAGCAGCAACAAATAAATACTTGGACATGATCAAACTGAAAAGCTTCTGCACAGCCCAAAGAACAGTCATGAAATAGCAAACAGACAACCTACAGAATGGGAGAAATTTTGCATCCTATGCATCTGATAAGGAGCTGATAACTAAATATACTTATAACTCATGACATCAGCAAGGAAAAATCAAATTACCCATTAAAAGTGGCAAAGGACTGAACAGAAACTTTTCTAAAGAAGACAGAAGAATGGCCAACAAATATATGAAAAATGCTCAACATCTCTAATCATCAGGGAAATGCAAATCAAAACCACAATGAGATATCACTTAACTCCAGTGAGAATGGCCTTTATCAAAATCTCCAAACAATAAATGCTGCTGGTGGATGTGGAGAGAGAGACACTCCTACACTGCTGGTGGACTGCAAACTAGTTCAACCTCTGTGGAAAGCAATATGGAGATACCTTAAAGCGATACAAGTGGATCTACCATTTGATCCAGCAATCCCATTACTGGGCATCTACCCAAAAGATCCAATGACACTCTACAAAAAAGACACCTGCACCTGAATATTTATAGCAGCACAATTCTAATTGCAAGGCTGTGGAAACGCCAAGTGCCATCCATCCAGAATGGATTAATAAAATGTGGTATATGTATACCATGGAGTACATTCAGCTCTAAGAAACAATGGTGATATAGCACATCTTATATTTTCCTGGTTAGAGCTGGAACCCATACTACTAAGTGAAGTTTCCCAAGAATGGAAAACCAAAAAGCACATATACTCACCAGCAAACTGCTATTAACTGAGCAGCACCTAAATGGACAGATAGGTACTACAGTAATTGGGTATTGGGCAGGTGGGAAGGGGGGGTGGGTATATACATCCATAATGAGTGAGATGTGCACCATCTGGGGGATGGTCACGCTGGAAACTCAGACTTGAGGGGGGGAAAGGGCATTTTTTGAAACCTTAAAATCTGTACCCCCATAATATGCTGAAAGAAAAAAAGAAGAAGAAATCGAAGCAGCAATAACATCTTTCCTAAGAAAGTAGTCCTAGACCATTTGGTTTCATACCCACATTCTACCAGACTTACAAAGAAGCACTGGTGCCTATCCTACAGAAATTATTCCACAATATTGAGATGGAAGGAATCCTCCCCAACACGTTTTATGAAGCTGACATCACTGTGATACCAAAACGAGGAAAGGTCTCAACAAAAAAGGAAAACTACAGAACAATATCCCTTATCAATAGATATGCAAAATCCTCAATAAAATTCTACCAAATGGAATTTAGTTGCTCAACAAAAAAATAAACCATAATGATCAAGTCGGCTTCATCCCAGAGATGAAGAGATGGTTTAACATATACAAATCCATAAATGTAATTCACCACATAAACATAAGTAAAAATAAAGACAATATGAGCTTCTCAATAGCATAAAAAGCATTCTACAAAATTCACCCTTTTATATTAACAAAACTTAACAGAACTGGCATAGATGGGACTTATCTCAAAATGATAAGAGCCATATATGACAAACTCATGGCCGACATCATATTGAATGGGGAAAAATTGAAAGCATTCCTGCTTAGAACTGGAACCACACAAGATTGTGCTCTATCACCACTTCTATTCAACATTCTGGAAGTCTTAGCCAGACAAGACACGGGAGTCAAGGGCATCCAAATGGGAGCAAGAAGAAGTCAAACTACTGATCTTTGCTGATGATATAATCTTATATCTGTAAATCACCAAAGATTCTGCCATGAGACTACTTGAATTGATAAAGAATTTCAACAAAGTCTCAGGTTATAAAATCAATGTAAGCAAATCAGTAGCATTCATATACAGTAAGAACAGTCAAACTGAGAACCAAATCAAAGACTCAATGACTTTCACAATACTAACAAAGAAAATAAAATTCATAGGAATATATTGAACTAAGGAGGTCACAGACCTGTACAGGGATAACTATGAAACACTAAAGAGGGAAATAGCAGAGAACATAGAGAAGTGGAAAACCATACCACGCTGATGGATTGGCAGAATCAACATTGTTAAAATGTCTACAGTAACTCAAGTGATCTAAAGATTCAATGGAATCCCTGTTAAACTACCAACATCATTTTTCAGAGATCTAGAAAAAATAATTCTGTGCTTTGTATGGAACCAGAGAAGAACCCATATAATTAAAGTAACCTTAAGCAAAAAGAACAAATTGGGAGGCATCAATATACCAGGCTATGGTAACCAAAACGTTATGGTACTGGCACAAGAACAGAAACAAAGACCAATTGGAACAGGACTGAGAATTCAGACTTAAAACCATCGTCATTATATCCATCTGGTCTTTGACAAAGAAGACAAAATCATACATTGGGGAAAAGAATACCTGTTTACTAAATGGTCCTTGGAAAATTGGATAGCCACATGTAGAAGACTGAAACAGGATCCACACCTCTCACCACTCACAAAAATCAACTCACGATGGATAACAGACTTAAACCTAAGCCAGGAAACCATATTAATTCTAGAAGAAAACGTTAGGAACACTCTTATAGTCATTGGCCTAAGGAAAGAATTTGTGAAAAAAAACCACAAAGCAATCAGAGCATCAACAAAAACCAATAAATGGGACCTGATGAAATTAAAATTTTCTGCACAGGCACAGAAGCTATTAGTAGAGTGAACAGGCAATCTACAGAATGAGAAAAGTATTTCCATGCTATACATCTGATAAAGGGCTGATAACTAGAATCTATATAGAACTCAGGAAAATCAGTAAATAACAATCAAATAAACCCATTAAAAAGTGTGCAAAGGTCATGTACAGAAACTTTCAAAAGAAGGTAGACAAATAGCCAAGAAACATGAAAACATGCTCAATATCTCTAATCATCAGGGAAATGTAAATAAAAAACACAATGAGGTATCCCTTAACTCAAGAATTATTTTTATTAAAGAGTCAAAAAACAACAAATGTTGATATGGGTGTGGAGAGATAGAAACACTCATACACTGCTGGTTGGAGTGCAAACTAGTAAAAATTCTATTAAAAGTACTATAGAAATAGAACTAAAAGTAGAACTAGTATTTGATCCAAGAATCTCACTACTGAGCATCTATCCTAAGGAAAAAAGGCATGATATAAAAAAGACATCTGCACTGAAATGTTTATAGCAGCACACTGATAATTGCAATTATTTGTAAACAACCCACCTGCCCATCAATATATGAGTGGATTAATAAAATGTGGTATATGTATACCACAGAGTACTACTCAGCCCTCAAAAACAATGGTGAACTAATACCTCTTGTATTATCCTGGATGGAGCTGGAGCCCATTCTCTGAAGCAAAGTGTCACATGAATGGAAAAACAAGCACCATATATACTCACCACCAAATTGGTACTAACTGATCAACACTTACATGCACATATTGAAGTAATATTCATTGTATGTCAGACAGGTGGGAGGGGGAGGAGGAGATGGGTATATTCACACCTGATGGGTAAGCTATGCACTGTCTGAGTGATGGGCACACATGTAGCTCTCACTTGGGTGGTACCAAGCAATATATGTAACCTAAATTTTATACCCCTATATTATTCTGAAATAAAGAGTAGAAAGATAAAAAAATAATGTAATATTAAGAAAGTAAAAAAAAAAAATTGCAGGTACCTGGGTTGATGAAAATATTCCAAAGTTGACAATGGTAATGGTTATACATATGTTTGAATGTATTATCAATCATTGAAATGTCCATTTTAAGTGTGTACATTCTATGGTATTTGAATTATATCTCAATAAAGTACTTATTTTAAAAAAGAGAGAGAAATAGAAATAATAGTCCACATACTTATTATGAGAAAGAGTGGATCTAAGAAATCAAATCTTAAGAGCTTCTTGGTCTTTTCCACAAAAGGATCTTGTGGTTTGTTGAGGGAATCGATGTTCACCCCAAATGATGTGCCCATGATCACATCCATCCTGTAGGCCCCAAAGAGGCTGAAAGACATGGAAAATTGAAATGAGAACTGCTTCACTATTCTCCTAGTACACATGCAACAAGATGTGCGTATAAATCTGTGTGAACTGTCAGATGTCAGGAACCACAGCCTTTCAGAACTACCTGCTGGATCATCTCCCATCCCAATCACTCATGATGTGGTTATCATGTGCCAGTGATGCAGCTGGCCCTGTGCTGGGCATGGTGGAGACACTAAGTCAAGATAGTCCTACCTCTGAGCTCAAGGAGCTCAGGCAAAGGAGGACAGAGACCCAAAGTCAGACAAACTACAGCTAGAGGGTTTCATGACAGCTCAGAACCCTGAGACTGTGCTCCTACTTACTCCTTCAAGGTGACAGTGTTGCCTTTCTCTGCTTCCTGCCTCAGGTTTCTCACCAACACATCTGCATACTGGCTCATGATGGGGAACATCTAAGCACAAAACACAACACCACACATAGTTAAACATGTACACTCAAGTCCCAGAAGGACATGGCTTTCCCTAGCATGGAGTAGTAAGTGATATTTTATAATTAACTTTGTCATGTCTCTTCTGGCCATAAAAATAAAAGGCCACTTTTAGGAAGCTCAAACTTAGTGGACTACCTCCTGGAAAGGGACCATAATGTTATTTTGTCCCTGTTCCCAGATTCATACTTTCAGTTTCTAAGTAGAAGTCCTTGTGTTTTCTTACCTCCTTCAGTTTTCCGCTGGTGAAGGTTGGAGACAGCAACGCTCGTATTCTCTTCCATTCTTCATCTTCAGATAGAGAGATGGCACTTTTCATAAATCCCACTGGACCAAAAGGCTGGAGTTGAAATCAAAAACATTTTGTCCTTTATAAGTTTTGTAGATCTCCACAGACATAAAAATGTGTTAAATAGACATCACTTATTTAACAAATATTAAGTGACTATCTCCCAGGTAGCAAGCCTGCTAGGTTCTCAATGTATTGTAGATTTATCCCAAATGCCTACTCTCCTCTGAGCCTCTGTGTGTGTGTTTGTCTGAAGTCACCCAGCCACCTGGTGTGGTTTCCAGACTCTAAATCTGAGTCTCCTTTTAAATGGCAATGATGCCCTGGTGGGAAACCTTTTCTTTCAGGGTAATAGTGGGGATCAAGACCTGTACCTCCTTCAGGGCTGTGCAGAGAAAAAGGGACTGGTGACAGTTCATCAGGTAGCCTTGGCAGACTGTGGGTTACTTGAGAGTAGTTTTGACATACAGCATAGCATGAACAACTTGAAAAAGGAATAACTTGAGGTAGTAATTTTTTAAAAATTATAGATAATACATAAAAGATTTTGAATGCATTTTGAAGAAATGATACAATTACTTGAAAGTCCTTTTCTTTAATTTTTTTTCATAGGGATACAGGAAAAAGAAAGATAATTCTGTTTCCTATTTTGGGAATTGCTAGAAGTCCTCTAGAAAAAGAAATAAAGTGGTAGGTGTGAATCTACATGCTGTTCAGACTTACTGTACAGCTAGTGTAGTCAGGACAGTGTGGTACTGGATGAGGGATAGATACAGTCATCAATGGAACAGAATAGAGAATGAGAAACAGACACACACAAAGAGGCCCAAATGATTTTTAACAAAGCTGTAAAAACCAATTCAATGGAATGAGGACAGCCTTTCCAAAATGGTGTTGGAACATTTGGACAGCCATAGGCCACAAGAAATGGACCTGGAGCTAAACCTCATGCTTTACACAAAAATTTTCCAAAAAATGGATCATAGATATTACTGTAAAGCATACAACTATAAAACCTTTAGAAAAGCCAACAACAATATAGCAGGGCTGAGGAAGATCTTTCAGACTTGACACCAACGCACCATCCATAAAAGGAAAAAAATGATGAACTGGCCTACTCAAAGTTAAAAATTATTTGCTCTGATAAAAGCCTTGTTAAGAGAAAAAGACAAGCTACACATCATGATTGTAGAACAGCAGCAGTGAGCATCATGGTGATGGAGGACTTCTGTGTCATCATCGTGCTGGTGGTTATGTAAATCTATGAATGTGATAAATTTGCATAGAGCTACACACACACACACACACACACACACACACATTCACAAAAATGAGGACACAGAACACTAAGGAAACCTGAAAACGCTCTGTGGATATCAGTGTTGATTTCCTGTAACTATAGTGATAGGAATATACTAGATTTATACTGATGCAAAATGTTCCATTGGGGGAAACAGGATGGAGTGTAGTACAGGAAACTCCTTGTACCACTTTTTGACAATTTCCTGTGAATCAATCAATATTTAAAAATAAAAAATTAATAAATAAAAAAATAAAGGTATAAAGTTAAGACATGGATGTGTACCCGCCAGTTTGTGAAGACAGAATAACACTCTTTCACTAGCACTGTTTTGATCATGTCGGGATCCGTGATAGCCAGCACAGGCCATTGACCTTCATATACCCTGTGTCAGGACAACAGAGCTGATTAAACTCTACAAGCCTAATTCTGCAGCTGCAGCCACACCCAGTAATCCAGACTTTGATCCTGACATTAATAATCCATACCCCAGTTGTATGATACACAGCAACATTAGGTCCTAGTTCAAGTTAGGGTAGGACACACAGCAAGGTTCTGACCACAGAAGCCCCTGGAGTCTTCACAGAATGAAGGGAAATGTGGCTCAAGTGGGGAAGACACATTTAAATACAAAATAGCTCTTCTACAAGATCATGGTGAGAAATAACAGGAAACCTTTAGTTATGAGGTACGAAGGAAGAGGAGAAACCTTCTCCCATTTGCTTGTAGTGTACACAGGATCGCACCTCTTCTGTGGCTCTCACCAAGCCCCCAGCAGCTTTGGAAAGGGAATAGCTGCTGCAGTTGGATGAGGCCACCCTCAAAATTATAAAGTCCATTAGCCCACTGGGGAACACGGTGGTCTAATATATTCTGTATCTCTTCTTCAAAGTCAATAGAATGGAGTAGACAAAGAAAAACTTGAACATACTTCTCTTGAAACGTCTTCGCTTAAATTTAAAAAACAGCACAAAAGCAAGCTCCACACTTGCAGACAAAGGAAAAAGAAAAACAGATGATAAATGATTTACCAATCTGTTCATCTCCATCTCCCAGCTCTTCTTTGAAAAGCACGTATTAAACCCAAAAATTTAATTTAAGAATTTGGTTTTATTGAAAAATGATTCACTGTGGGAGGGAGTTAATGCCATGCATTTATGAGCACGTATTATAATGATCTGAAATGATGCATTTCATGCAATTGAAGGTAACCTAAGGTAGGAAAAAGAAGAGATAAAAAGCCAGTCACTGGACAGAAAGTGATGCTGGGAGTCCCTGGGCCATCAAACCTGGAGAAAAGTGGTCACCTGCAACGTTCTCAGCTTCATTGAGACTGCAGACCTCAACACCTGGTTTTACCTATGGAATTCTTGGTAGGATAAGCCTCAGAAAGCTTTCCAATAGACAGTGTGAAAGTTGTCAGAACAAAATGGAGCCACCCTGATGTTATAAAATAAATAAAACCAGAAAGATCCTGGGAAGGCTATGAAGAGAGCATTCTCATGCTTGCATGGCTAAAAAGAAAACTGTCACAAAATACTCTAGAAAAACCACACCTTGAACAAAGAGCACAGTATTGTTAGAGTAAAAGTACTTCAGGGAGGACATCTGCCCAGTAACTGCCTGTCCAACCTCGGAATGGTGTCCCCTTGTTATTGATCTTTGTAGTTACAGATAATTACTTCAAAATAATTCTGTTATCCTGCTTATTTTTCCTTTAACAACCTTTTTCTTCCTTTACTTCCCTGAATAGGCACATAGTTTGCTATAGCATGTACATTTCCATTCCAATGCTTTATTCCCAAATAAATATATTTTTCTCTCAGAGAGCCTCTGTCTGTTTTTTTGTTTGTTTGTTTGTTTGGTTGGTTGGTTGACAGCAGCTTCATCCCAATAGGCTCTGGGCTGAGATTGTCCTTCGTATGTGGGGTATATCATCATAGCAGCAAGTCTATCCAATGGAAGTGTTGCGGCAATGTGTACAGCTAGTGTTACAGCTCTTGTTATAGCTCTTATTCGTTTGACTGGGGAAAGAACCAAGCGGCATATGATGAGTTGGAGAACAGCCTTTATTCTTCTACAACAGGCTCAGCACACCTAGTGTTACAGCTCTCTTCGTATCTTCTGATATTTTGACACTTCCGCGTTTTCTGCTCCTGCTTTTATGCCCTTGGTAGGGCTCAAGAAGCGTCTAATCAACTACAAGCTTTAGCATCCAATCAACAACAAACTTTAACATCCAATCAAAAACAAGTGGGATTCAAAAATTAACCAATCAGGATCACACAAGCAGCGTGGCTAGAAACAGGCAGCGGCACATGGGCCTAGGGGCATTCCGCCACGCGGGGTCCTGGGCGGCTCTGTGCCACCCCAGCAGCATACCCTCCAACTGGCCACGCGCAGCACTGGCCCGTGGAGATGCAGAGCTACAGGGAGGCGGCAAGCAGCCACATCCCGGCGCCTGACATTTTCCGCATGATAAGTTTCCAGAATACTCATCCCCACATTTCCCTATACTTTTTGTAACATTCTTCATCAAATTTCCGAAATCCCTGGGAGAAGAAACAAAATAAAATTCAATTGTTATTTTAAATATCTTTAACCCTGCCTCTAATTGGGGCAAAAAAGAGTGAAACCTGAAATAATCAGGCTCACTACGTTTCACTGGAAGTTAGAAGAAACCTTTTGTTCAGAGATGTTCAGGGAAATGGAGAGAAATAGAGGAAATAATTGCAATGGATGATTCACTGTCACTCTTGAATTTTCTCCAAATATTGTAGATACACAATGACTTTCCTTTGTTTATGAATACTAAATAACTCCCCGTATTTCTGAAATGTTTTTGCAGATGCATGTATTCTTTCTAACGTCTCATAATCTTCTGAATGGTGACCTCCATGGGCATGTGAGGAAACTGAGGCTGAGGGAGAGTGATCAGGTGTCTAGGGAAATTCACATTCTTTCATCTCTTTCACCATCCTTTCCATTTATCTCAGGAATTTTTCTAGAATTCTAGTGGAATTGGGAAATCAAAGACATCAGGGACCTCTTTTGGTCTACAGGTTTATATCAGTCTAAGGCATGTTGTTGACTGAGAAAATTAGTAATAAGTGACTGAGGAAAGGACAAAATGGGCTCACCTCCTGCTGTCTCATTCAAAATGGAAAAGATCGGGAAACGCAGCTTCTTCACACAGGACAAATTACCACACTTGCTGCAAGTCTTCACTTCTGCAGCTTAAAAACAAATCTTCCTGGTGCTGTGTTTCAGTTGTGATATTTTCACTATGCAAAAGAAGATCGCTCAAATATGGATTTTGGGAAACACTTAGTAAAGTGTTGATCTTACCAAGGTGAACAGGGCATTATTGCTTTTACAGAGGGAAAAATATGGAATCTTAGGCAGTAATTAGGCAAGAAATGCCTGAGTTGGGAGAATTAGAATCTGAGCAAGAAGCCTGAGGTGTGTGGGACATGAAATCGGGGCCAGAGACCAGCCTGCACACAGGCTTTGCTGGTCGCCTCATGGGTGTGAGCTGCTGACTTTATGTTCAGAGGCCAGGCCCTGGGTGAAGAATTAGCCATAGTGGCTTGGCCAAAATTCACAGTACTTATGACACTTATAGTACAATTAATTTAAATTCTTGGTAATTTTTTTTTCAGACAGTGTCTTGCTGTGTTGCCTTCACCAAAGTGTGGTGGCATAAGCCTAACTCACAGCAACCTGAGGTTCCTGGACTCAAGAAATCCTATTCCCTCACAGCTGGGACTACAGGCGCATACCACCATGCATGGCTAATTTTTTTCTATTTTTCACTTTTGCTAAGGCTAGTCTGGAACTTCTGACCTCAAGCGATCCTCCTGCCTAGCCTCCCAGAGTGCTGGGATTATGAGTCTGATTCACCAAGCCCGGCAATTCTTTGTAATTTTGTCAACTCGTCTCCTTTCTAGACATTTTGCAAAAGTGAGTCTGCTTTTGTTAAAACAAAAGAAAACGAAACAAAGTTCATTTCATGGCTAAGTATCTGAAGTCAATGGACAACCACAACCTCGTCTCAGGTATATCCACTCCCTGCTCAGACTCACCCAGAGGATGCTGCCTTTCAAGGAAAAGAAACAAAGCAGAACTCTCTTCGTTTGCCTGGTTAAGTTCCAAAATACACCATGGAGAGTCCAACAAGGGTACAACTATGAAGTACCCAGAGGGAATTCAGCAGTTCTTGAGAGAATTCAAGTAGGTGCAAATTACCCCATGAATAAAAGGGCTGCATAAAAAACTGAAGTTTCCAACCTGTGCAGGTATTGTGGCAATGTGTACAGCTAGTGTTATAGCTCTTGACCTGGGAAAGAACCAAGTGGCACACAAAGAGTCGGAGAACAGCCTTTATTCCTCCCCAAAAGGCTCAGCACACCTAGTGTTACAGATCTCTTCGTGTCTTCTGATCTTCTGACCCCCCCTTCCTTGGTCTCCTCCTACTTTTATACCCTTGGTAGGGCTCAATAAGCGTCTAATCCACTACAAGCTTTAACATCCAATTAACATCAAGCTTTAACATCCAATCAAATCAAGCTTTAACATCCAATCAACAATAGTGGGATTCAAAAATTACCCAATCAGGATCACGCAAGCAGTGTGGCCGGGAAACAGGCAGCGTCCCACGGGCCTGGGGGCATTCCCACACACGGGGTCCCGGTGGCTCTCTGCTGCGGGGGCCAGCCCCAGCAGCATGCCCTCTAACTGGCCACGTGTGGCGCTAGCCCACAGAGATGTGGAGCGACAGGGAGGCGGCAAGCAGCCTTGTCTCGGCGACCGACATTTTCTGTGTCACAGGAGGAAGGAAAACAAGGCAACTCAATTGTTCTTGCTAAATAAGAAAGTTTGAGTGTTGTGCACACAGCTTAATGGGCCACTACTAGGGGTCCCCCTTCCTGCATTTCTCCTAATATTAAGTATGACTATACCTTTCTGTGAATATGCACTAGCCAAAAAGACTTTGCTCAAAAAGTCTGAACATCAAGCTCTGAACATTAAGTTCGGATCTGCCAGAGATCTGCCCTGTTCAGCTGAGGGAAACCTGAGGCTCCCAAGAGAAGACAACAGACCCCAGGGTGGACCTGGCTATCCCCTGGGTGGGGTCTACACATCATTTCTGAAGTGTTAAACCTCAGAAAATGGGGGTATTTTTCCCAATGGAATAAGCTGGTGTTTGCAACCATAAGAAGCAAAAGAGAGTTCAAAAAAACCCACCTTGTGGTAAGACAGAACATTTCCCACAATAGGCAAAGGTGTGGGCCCAGGAATTCCCAGCTTCTTAAACAGTCCATGTGAATGAGTCCCATATCTATAAAGTGAAAGAGAAAGAAAGGCAAGCAACAGGGATTGTGGTTTTATAGATATGGGAGCTGTCCAGTCACTGACTAAGAAACTGCCATCGCCAAGAGAGACAAGTCCTGCCTAAGCAAAACCTAACAGCTGCAACGCCAACAGCAATAGCTACATTCATCCATCACCTTCTTTCCTGCCTCCTTTGTGAGACCCACCCAAAGTCAGAATGATCAGCTAAAAGGAACTGAAATCTTTGGGGTTCTAATCCTGGAATGAATGCTTTATAAATGTCCCCAAAAATTCAATGCTTCTTGAGTGGTTCAGACTGGAATTCTTCCAGGGCATGTCATTCTCTGATGTCCATTTGGTATATTAACTCTTCCATGATTTGGAAATTCTTGTTCTCATAGAAAAGGTGCAAATTATTTTCTTCTGCTCTGATGAAGTGTTTTTGTGTAAGTGCATGTGCTCAATCACACAGGGTCACAATAGCCTATGGTGATACTGCTCTTATCGTTTGCTCTGAGGGTTATACTTCCCCTTCCCTATAAAATCCGAGCTTGTTTTAATATCTGGCCCTTTGTAAAGCCTCCTTCAGAGGAGGTCTTAGAGGAGTCACAGGGTTCTTATTATTATTGAATGACAACAGTGTTCAAGGCTTCCATTGGCCTTATAGAAAAGTGAGCACTTTTTATCTGTACCCAAGTGCCTGTGATCAGATCATCTGGTTAGCTTGAGCTGTAGGGAAGGATGTTGACCTGTATGTTCCCAGAATGACACTCTGCAGAGGAACCAATTGACTGAAGGATCCATTCCAGGCCCTTCCTCCCCTTGTGGAATGTGGTCCTACAACAGGTGATCCCTGAGAAGCTCAGGGCCAGGCACACTGATATTTCCCAGGTGGCCAGTTACAAAGCAGTCATTTTACTGCCTCTGCACATCAACTCCCTCAGTAGGAAAATCCATTTATGCTGGTGCAGACATCATTGGTGTGTCATGTATGGCCTCCTCCAATTGGGGTTCTGGTTCCTGCAGACCTTCCCACTCTGGTGCTACTGAGTCATTGCAAATGGGAGGAAGTAGAGAAGGTAAGAAAAGTGCCTCCCAGGCACTGAGCTAACCTTGAAACTTCTGGGCCCACAAGGTTGGCCCTATAGAGGCAACTGAGGACAGAGCAGCTGAAAAGTATGGTATGTAGACATGGTTCCACATTTCCCACAGGCACTTTTAGCTGAAAGAGAATGGCCATCCAGGCCAGGCGCGGTGGCTCGCACCTGTAATCCTAGCGCTATGTGAGGCCGAGGAGGGCGGATTGCTCAAGGTCAGGAGTTTGAAACCAGTCTGAGCAAGAACGAGACCCTATCTCTACTATATATAGAAATTCCTCCTCCTCCTCCTCCTCCTCCTCCTCCTCCTCCTCCTCCTCCTCCTCTTCTTCTTCTCCTCCTCCTCCTCCTCCTCCTCCTCCTTCCTCCTCCTCTTCTTCTTCTCCTCCTCCTCCTCCTCCTCCTCCTCCTCCTTCTTCCTCTTCCTCTTCCTCTTCCTCTTCTTCTTTCTTCTTCTTCTTCTTTCTTCTTCTTCTTCTTACAGTGTCTCACTCTGCTGCCCAGGCTAGAGTGCCGTGGCGTCAGCCTAGCTCACAGCAACCTCAAACTCCTGGGTTCAAAAGATCCTCCTTCCTCAGCCTCCCAAGTAGCTGGGACTACAGGCATGCACCACTATGCCCAGATAATTTTTTTTCTGTGTTTTTAGTTGGCCAATAATTTCTTTGTATTTTTAGTAAAGACGGGGTCCCCCTTGTGCTCAGGCTCGTTTTGAACTCCTGACCTTGAGCGATCCACCTGACATGGCTTCCCAGAGTGCTAGGATTACAGGCGTGAGCCACCGCATCCAGCCAGCTTTCTTTTTCTTGATAGCATAAGAGGCATTATGTTACATAACATAAATAACTCTAAAATGTTCTAGATAATTGAATTAAGACCTTATTTCCTCTTCTTTACAGATTAGCTTTTAGGCCTGTATAGTTTCCAAATATTCTGTAGAAAACCAGTAAATCTTATAATATGTGATAAAATATAACTGAAAATTGGCATGAAATTATGTGCATTTGAAGGACTAGCAGACGCAGGTCAGCTAAGCCTAGTTGAATCCTTCTCCCAGAAGAATTAGTGGAAGTCTGTGCACCAACTGCTAAAACCAGGGAGGCTTTGGTCATTCCCACTCGAGTTCTTCCCTTTTTTATTGTAACCATGGTAACTCATTAAACTAATCTGTTTCTGCACTTTGACATGATACATGAACTCTCAAGTGAGGCCATGCAATGAAGCTCATTTGTCTACAGCATTGGCCCCCAAGGAAAGATCTAGTCTAGTTTGTAAACTCGTATGGTACCATATAAAGCAGAGGATGGGCTGGATGAATTTCTTAGCTTCTTTCCACCTCTCCTCTTTTTGGTAATGTTCCTTTGGTACAATGAAGGCTAACAGAAAAAGCCAATATTTCTGTTGTGTTTAATTGTGTTGTCACAAATAGGGCATGGTCTATGCTACAGCTACTGACTCTACTGACTCAAGGGTTGCTCCAGTGTCTTATAAAGCTAAGGTATTGTTTGCCAGGCTGCCTGAATGTCTATGACACATTCATTATCATGCACACCACACACAGAGTGACATAGATGATATCCCTGTGCCTAGGCTTTAAGCAGGTGAGATGCCAACCCATCTGCCATGAAGTATCTCTAATGGTGGCCAGGACCCACAAGTATCTCTGGGGGTTGGGCCCTGAGGGATGAGGAATATTCTCTCAATTCATTCAGCCTGATCCCTGGGTGCCTTTTATATCCTTACTGGCTCACACTCTCATATATTACTATAGACAGACAGATTAAGAAAACTAAATAGGGTTTTGTGGTTCCTGCTTTTCAGGCCTCTTGCAGATAAATATCAGGGGAGAAATAAAGCTCTATACTAATGCTAACCTCCCAGACACTAGAAGAAAAAGGTAAAAGAAAACAATAAAACTTCAAGATTTCCTCCAGATCTCCTCTGCTGTAAATATCCACCATTTAGAGGTAAGTAACTCTGCATATTACTGGGAGGAGAAGTTGAATTATAGGAGCAAGAAGAGTCCTGCGGATGGCACAGAAAAGAGGTGCAAACATGGGAAAGCTTCCCAGGAAGTCTGGGGTACACCATGGTGCCTGTGTAAATCGTGATGGGGTGGAAGGCAGGGGAGCAGGACCCACCCCGTTTACAGGGAACAATTCCTGTACACATATCTTGCAGCAGACACAGAACCCAGAAGGTAAAGTTAAAGAAACAATCATCAAGCCACCCCTTCCTGTACTTACAATCCCCAGATATTGGGAAAGGGGCAAGGACCACGAGCACACAGTGCCCTGTTGTTTGTAATCTGCCTCTGCTGAATTCTGATTGATTAGTCTAGGTCCAAACCCATGGTCAATCAGATCAGCCACAAGACCAAATGCCATTATTAAACTCCTAGTTAGAGAACATGCAGATGGATAGTGTGGGGGGAGTTTTATTTATTCCTTGCACAGGTCTACATATGATCCACAACTATATGCTTTTTTTTTGTGGAATACATTTTTTTTTATTTCAGCATATTATGGGGGTACAGATTTTAAGGTTTCAATAATGCCCTTTCCCCCCCTACCCCCACAAGTCTAAGTTTCCAGCATGACCATCCCCCAGATGGTGCACATCTCACTCATTATGGATGTATATACCCGCCCCCTAACCTTCCCCACTCCCCCCTGCTCAATACCCTATTACTGTAGTACCTATGTGTCCACTTAGGTGCTGCTCAGTTAAACCAGTTTTCTTGGGAGTGTATGTGGTGCTTGTTTTTCCATTCTTGTGATACTTCAATTAGTAGTATAGGTTCCAGCTCTAACCAGGAAAATATAAGATGTGCTATATCACCATTGTTTCTTAGAGCTGAATAGTACTCCATGGTATACATATACCACATTTTATTAATCCATTCTTAGATTGATGGGCACTTGGGCTGTTTCCACAGCCTTGCAATTATGAATTATGCTGCTATAAACATTCGAGTGCAGGTGTCTTTTTTGTAGAGTGTCATTGGATCTTTTGGGTAGAAGCCCAGCAATAGGATTGCTGGATAAAATGGTAGATCCACTTGAATCACTTTAAGGTATCTCCATATTGCTTTCCACAGAGGTTGGACTAGCTTGCAGTCCCACCAGCAGTGTAGGAGTGTTCCTCTCTCTCCACATCCATGCCAGCATTTGGATTATTGGAGACATTTTGATAAAGGCCATTCTCACTGGAGTTAAGTGATATCTCATTGTGGTTTTGATTTGCATTTCCCTGATGATTAGAGATGTTGAGCATTTTTTCATATATTTGTTGGCCATTCTTCTGTTTCTTTAGAAAAGTTTCTGTTCAAGTCCTTTGCCCACTTTTAAAGGGTTATTTGATTTTTCTTGCTGATTTTCGTGAGTTCTAAGTATATTTTAGTTATCAGCCCCTTACCGGATGCGTAGGATGCAAAAATTTTCTCCCATTCTGTAGGTTGTCTGTTTACTTTCATGACTGTTTCTTTGGCTGTGCAGAAGTATTTTAGTTTGATCATGTCCCAAGCATTTATTTTTGTTGCAGCTGTGATTGCATTCGGGGACTTTTCATAAATTCTTTGCCTAGGCCGATGTCTAGGAGAGTGTTTCCAACATTTTCTTCTAGAATTCTAATAGTTTCATACCTTAGGTTTAAGTCTGTTATCCAGCGTGAGTTGGTTTTTGTGAGAGGTGAAAGGTGTGGGTCCTGCTTCAGCATTCTATAGGTGACTATCCAGTTTATTGAAAAGGGATTCTTTTCCCCAGCATATGATTTTGTCTCCTTTCAAAGATTAGATGGCTATATGAGGATGGTTTTATATCAGGATTCTCAGATATGTTCCACTGGTCAATATTTCTATTTTTATGCCAATACCATATTGTTTTAATTACTACAGCTTTAGTATAGTTTGATATCTGGCATATTGATAACTCCCATTTTGTTTTTGTTGCCTAGAATTACTTTTGGTATCCGGGGTCTTCTTTGGTTCCCTACGAAGTGTCAAATTATCTTGTCTATATCTGTCAAGAACGCTGATGGGAATTTAATAGGTATTGCATTGAATCTGTAGATCAGTTTGGGTAGTATAGACATTTTAATGATGTTCAGTATGCCGATCCATGAGCATGAAATGGATTTCCATCTGTTTATATCCTCTGCTATTTCCTTCTTCAGTGTTTCATAGTTCTCCCTGTAGAGGTCTTTTACCTCCTTGGTTAAGTATATTCCTAGGTACTTTAATTTCTTTGTTGCTTTTATGAAGGGAATTGAGTCTTTGATTTGGTTCTCAATTTGGTTGTTGTTGGCATATATGAATGCCTCTGATTTCTGTGTATTGATTTTGTATCCTGAGACTTTACTAAATTCATTGATCAGTTCCAGGAGTTTCTTGGTTGAATCTTTGGGGTTTTCTAGATATAATATCATATCATCAGCAAACAATGAAAGTTTCATCTCTTCTGCCCCTATTTGGATACCTTTAATTCCACTTTCCTGTCTGATTGCTGTAGCCAGGACTTCCAGCACTATGTTGAATAGAAGTGGAGATAGTGGGAAGCCTTGTCTGGCTCCAGTTCTAAGTGGGAATGCTTTCAATTTTTCCCCATTCAGTATGAGGTTGGCTATGGG